TATTTCATTTCTCACCTTTACATTTTGTCTCTACTGGATCATCATGACTAACTTGGGCGTCATTTGCCCGGGTTAACCAGAGATCACGATGATTGCTTAAGAGGAACTAATCACACATGAAACTTTCAGTTAGTCATACGTTTGACCCAAGAGGGGAAATTTACTGAAACGATGATTTTTGAGCTGTTGAGTCAACAGATTCACTGTATCAGAGGTCACTGCCCTCTCGGCTGGCCCCACTAATGAGGGAGTTGAGATTTTCTCACCATTGCTGGTGATGTGGTTGTCTTCACTGCTTTGCTGTCCTTTCCCCGGACTGAGCTCCCCATCCAAAGAGCTTTTCAAGTCAGGGAAGGTAGGCATCGTGGGAATGGCTCGGCTGCGCAGCCGGAGAATAGCGTCATCCTCGCTCTCCATCCTACGGAAGCAAATAGGTTAAACATTAAAACAAGGGAAAGAACCGGCGGCAGCTCTTGAACAAACGAGACGAGCCCTGAGAACACACAAGAAGACAAGCTAGCACATCACTGCTGTGCCACCTAACATCGATGCTGATATTGACTGACAATACAAACCCAGTGGGCAAACACATCACTCTCACATGACACGGACACGCAGCTAGCACATGAGTTAGCTCCCGTCCAGCTGGCATCAAGCCTCAATGAGACAGGCAGCGGCTAATTCACGGAGCTCGCTGAACTAAATCGCTACCTGGGTTAATATCATACACCGCTGATACTAAACTCTGATACTAAATCTGCCTGTTGACGCTCGCGGATATTGTTAGCATGCAATACAAGCTTTACTAAAGCTAGTCAAACCAGCCAACTTGATGTTTTATGGGTTGACCGACACTGACAGAAATGTAAAATTGCGGGCAGCACAATTTCCTGAATACCTACTCGTTTCAACCGCCAGGTCCTCTCTTCTCAAGCCTCTCTCTCTGACGTTAATGAGAGCGAACCCAGATGTGAAACTCCTCTAATCACCACAACCCGAGCCGCTGCTCACCTTCCCCATTCTATAAACACTACAGAAGATGAGCAGCACCCACGATTCTGATTGGTCGAAAGTCTCTCCTCCTTTTGACGTCACCGACGCTAAACTGCTGACCAGCGCGGTCAGACTCTCAAACGTCACCCGCTTCGTAAGAAATATTATTAAAAAAACAAACAAAACGGTTATATTTGTAATGATTAACAAACAGATAAAACATAAATGGAGCGATGTATTCCTGCTGCAAGCTGAAATCATTTGTCTCGCAGTTTAATTCGATTCAAAATAAAAATCTTATTATAATAGATTATAATGTGTCTTTTCCCGAACTCCTCTTACACGCGTTAATCATTCTTTAACCAGTGGTGTGCTACACTGTAAAGTACATAAACACACAGCAAGTATTACTGATACATTCAGCCTATAAAGACAGTTTATGTAGGGGAGAACGTGTCATGAATTATGAGATGAATGTCATTAATATGGGGAATGTTTGAGGTATATTTTTATATATCAAAAAAACAAGAAACCAAACCCCGATTCATTTACCACAATTTAGTGTGCTGCATCCTAAACTTAAAGGATAGAAACAAAGTATTGGTCCTAATGCACTAGTATCGATACCAATGCCAGCGCTGGTATGGTGGTGAATTGACTGATTTAGCGTTTTTCTGTTCTCGTGGAGCACTCAGTGTTAGGGTTCCTGGGTCGGTGACCCAGTGTTTTTGGTTATTTGATTTTGTTATTTTATTATATTCTAGCTTTGCTTTACGGGTTTTTCTTAGTTAAGGTCCTCTGGGTGGGGTTTGGTTAGAGTTTTAGTGTTTTGGTTTTCTGTCTGTGTTCCTTTGTTGCTGTCTCCCCTGTCTGCTGTATCCTCACGTCCAGTCAGTGTCTGTGTCTGCCCTGGTCCCACGTCTCTGTTCCCTTTGTTTTAGTGCTTGCCTGTGAGTCTGTGTTATGTTTCCTGTTTTACTTTGGAAGTCCATGTCTGATGTTTATGTGTCTGGTTTTGCTTCCCCTGGTCTCGTTAGGCCTGATTTGCCCCAGCTGTGTTTCCCTCCTGTTACTCATTCCCTGATTGCTCCCTCTGTGTATTTAAGCCCTGTGTTTCTCTGTGTCCATGTCGCGATCTACCGTTTACTTTGCTGTGTGTTTTGCCAGTCCACCGGTGTTAGTTTATTTTTAAGTTTTTTCCAGTTATGTTATGTTTGCGTTCAGCATTAAAGCTGTTTAGGTTTGTCTCTGGAGTCTGCATCTTGGGTCCTATCCCTGTCCGCACACAGCCACCACCGAACACTCAGAGGGCTTTATACAACATGCCGCATTCACCCATTCATATCTTCTATGCTTCAAAGCTAACATTCACACACATTTAGTATCTTGCCCAAGGATACTAAATGTGTGGCATGCTGGGGGAGCCAGGGATTGAACCACTAACCTTCCAATCAGTAGATAATATTTGGATCCACCCACCTGTAGACAAAACTCATAATATGGATCATATATATAAACTGCCCGGGGTAGCAGGATTATAAAATTAACCATCGGGATTTCTTTTTCTAACACTCAAATCCTTAAAAAAAATTATGTGTGGTAGCTGATCTCAGAACAAACGGCGACATTACCTGTACGATGCTGTCTGTAAATACATTTAGCAGCTACTTTTAGTGCAGTGGCATTCCCGGGGTCACTGGGATGTGCTGTCATGCATAGCTGTAAATAAGTGTTCATCAAACAGTGACGATAATTGTAGGTCTGACTGATTGTATTGTCTTAAACAACGAATATGTAGCTTGCAAAGAAGAAGAAGAAATATATGTATTTGTTATTTATTTCTTTGGTGTTTCTGAACAGCTGTTCTTGCTGCCTGGCTGTATAGGTCTGCTGTTATATAATGAACATGAAAAGAACTTAACTTAATAGACATGTTATTGTTTTTTGTTTTTTCATTTTAAAGTCAGCAAGTACAACAAGCCTTCAATGATGCCATCCATAAAATGACTTAAAAAATATATACTTCAGCCTTTGAAGATGACCATATCCTAACACACTAGAGGTGTGGCAGTCTTTGTGTGGAACAATGCAGGTTAAAGCTCTGGCATTGATCATTTGAAAGTCAAATATACTGTATTGTATTTCAGTGCAGTTTTCCTAACTTATAAATACACTAACAAATGAAGAGAAATTGTAAGCTAAAGCTTGTTTTTATTGTAAAATGTAACCTAATCTGTTCCCTTTGTCCTTCCCTTCCATTTGCCAACAAGCCAAACCTGTAGCTGTCTGGTAATCACCAGGTTTCATTAGTGAAAAAACAATTCTGTGAACTAAAATAAAATATGAATATAAGAAACAACTCTAGTTTTAGTATTGATCAATTTGGTAAGTATTGCCCGATGAGGTTTTTGATGGATGTGTTAATTGAGACTTTGGATGTCTACAGGACTGTGAATCACCTGCTTTCAAAAAGTTCTGTTTTTATTTTAATAGCAACTGATTTTCCTAAATCTGGCCTCTAATATTTGCCCTAAATACGGTAATACAAAGAAATATTATTAGCAATTCTAAAAGTCTTAAAACGTAAACTAAAACTAAACATTTTCAAACAAACAATACAATGAAACAAGAAAACCTATGTTTGTTGAATTAAAAAGAAATTGTCAAAACAAAATAAAAACTAATCAAAAAACAAAAACTATACAAATTCTGACAGTGGATAAGAATGCTGTGCAGTCTAACATAAAGTGAGACGTCTGGTCCCTCATCCACCTTTTCAAGTCATGTTTGTTGGTATTTTGCTTTAATGGTTCTTATTTCTCTCCAGAAATACAAAATATCCACACAGTAAACCCACCACACCTTTCGTTATGTACCATGAATCAAAACATATTTCTAGGAAGAATAGGCTGAATTTTAGGAGAAACGCTTACAATCAGACAGAAGCATGGTTTATCAGTATGTTATTTTTACTATTTTTATGCTACATGTTTTTCTTTTTATCACACTGCACATCTTTACACTAAGTTCACAAGCCTAAACAAGCAAAGATATGCTAAGTTATGAAGACATTTCATGGGAAATATTCACAAGATTTTGTTTTGTAAATTACTGCCCCATTCATTTAAAAGACAGTTTTGGAGCCCGTGTGCAAGTTAAACGCGTTTTTGATGGAGCGCCTCTAAGTAGAGCGTGACATGCTGTCAAACCTTCATATAACTGGTCTCATGAGCCTACTGTGGCAAAACGGTTAATTTCAAAGAGACAACAAGACATTCACTGTATCAGACATCATAAGGATGCTGCATATAACCATGGATCTTCCTGTGGTCTGTGATTAAGTCAGTCCAAAGGCTCAAGAGTGAATTAGGACACTGAGAATGGAAGAATTTCCCAACAGGCTTGTTATAAAAGACATGTTGTGTCTCTCTATGGTGAACCCAGCCAGAGTCAGCTGCCATACTCCAGCCACTCTTTCTTCTCCCAAGAATATAAAAATTTGTTGACATCACTGCACTCGGATGGTTGAGAAGATGCAAACCTGTTCACAAACCAGTGCTTCCACAATACTGGGAACGTAGGAATGTGGCACTAGGCCTAGAAAACATCAACACAATTACTTAGTTTTTACTTTGTAACTATTTGAAGATTACCCCTTACTGTGTGATGTGCGCAGGCTCAGTACAAACAAAACAACGGGCTCTGTTTCATTCAGAGCCATTGTTTTATTTTGATAGTGCGGGACAACATTCCCCTGAGTTGAGGACAAAGTAAAAAACGAAGACTTTTAGTGTAAATACAAAGTTATAAGTCAAACTGAACATTTGATGCTACATTTTCATAACAAAAATGTTTCATATGTCAAAAATCTAACAATTTTACAATTGAATAAATATACAGCAAAATACAAAACTGAGCACTTTTATTTGATTATTCATTTCAAATATACATATTTTATATTATTCCAGCTTTCTGGATGATAGGAAGCTGGAATAATAGCCTTTTTTCCCACCTTGGCTCATGTGGTGACTCATATGATCAGTATTGGGTTAGCAACCTTCAGGACTTACTCCACACAGGACACCCACCACTGGGGTTTATTTCCTGGGAGTCTCCACCAGTTGCTTTAAGAACCGAAGAAGCGTATTGGATGTGATGTGAAACGTCTTCACAATCCTAAAGACGTCCAGCTGCCTTCTTTCTTGAGCTCTTGAGACTTTCATCGCACACAGACACACCGGTCACAAGAAGCAGACGGGTCCCAATGCCACAGAGATCTCAGAGACAAGCTCGGAGACACTGCTCGTCTCTACACCCAGATGTCTGACAGGAAGTAATTCCATATCTCCTTGAACCCTGACAAACAGCTCCAGCTGGAGAAGCAGCAGACAAAAAGCAAACACAAGGAGATATGTTCAGTTTGTTCTTCCTGGATTCATAACTAATTCCAGAGACTAGACCCTTGTGCATGGCGAGGGAAATGATTTTTAGCAGCTGTATGGTATCTCTGAGCAATCTCAAGTCTAATATTGTTTTATTAAATCTCCTTTATTCCCATAACTATAAAACGTGTGCAATTTACCTTGTAAGGCTATCGTACAAAAGCTGAAATGAAAAAGTTCTCATAGTTCAGACAGTGTTTGATTTATTTGTACCGACACATGACTTCTTTATCTTTTGGAGACTGGTGTTTCCTTTCATAAATTTCCATCACAATAAAAGGACTCTGATCTGACACAAATGTGATGCATGGTTCCTGAAAGTAATCGATTCCACTTCTTTTTCTCAGACGCCTTACGTACAACAATATAAAACGAATGTGTTGTTTGTATTACAGTCACAGTTATAGAAAGATGCTGGCAACGCCCACAAAAACTGTCACAAATCGTTTAGTCTTACCTCAGAGTGTTTTCTGGACACTGTGACAAAGTGTGAATCGATTTCTTTGCCAGAGTCTCCCAGTAAGTGGATAATCTGACTGGCTAAATCATCTGTGGCAGCAGTACTCGTCTGGTTTTCTGTACAGCTGAGAGTGATGTGCTGGAAAGATGAGTGGCTGTGTAACCGCAGAAACTTTAGCTGGACAGCTTCCACACCAGGGTAATCAAACTATCAGAAAGAGCATTAATGTTAGAAAGCACATCTAGAAATAATAGTTTCCTGAATCTAGCCACATATTATTTAATACTTACTTTTTGGTGGTGAGTAAACCTCTCCACATATGTCCTCATCATTTCTGGGTCCCTCCATATTTGAATCTAAACAGTGGGATATGATGCATATTTTTGAAGCCATTCATAAAAACACAAGATTTTTGTAGTAGCATTAATCAGAGAAGTAAAAGAAACACACACACACACACACACACACACACACACACACACACACACACACACACACACACACACACACACACAGGTTACTTTTTCCTTCAATAATCTGACATAAATGCAGCACAAACTATCTACAAACATTCTCAAGTTCCATGTTTTGTAGCTGATATTGTGATAATGAAGTTAGTTCTTTGATAACGTTAAGCTTCACAGGTGAAAATGACTGAACCTTTGAGTAAAGAGGTTCTATGCAGGTTGCTCCACCTCCTGTGAAGTTACAGAAGACCTTCAAGGCATCACAGGGACAGCCTTGGTTCGGGTCCATGTAAAAGTCACCTGAAAAAAAAGTTGAATGGAACGTACTGAAATATATAAGGGAAAACGTAATAAAACAGTCATCAGATGCTCACCATCATTTAGATGTGGACGTATGAGTCTCAGCTCATGGCAGGTGGTTCCAGGATCATCTCTGGTGCCCAGGGGCCAGCTGAAGAACTCTGCTTCATCTTCTTGAGACCGTCTCCTTGTCACTCGCCTGGGCTACAGGAAAACAGTGTTCAGCATTCACTCAGTCGGCTTAACATGTTTTACTTTTAAAGCTAGACTGCAGAGCAAATGAGGACATTCTGTGACTGTATATAATGTGCACGGAATAAGAAAGCTTGCACCAACTTTTTCTTGCCCTTCGCTTTGCTTCGGGAGGCCGGGGCTTTGCTTTGAACTCTGTGCAGTTTGAAAACTATATTTTTTAACAGGTCTTTGCTTAGGCTTCCATTTGCCAGGGGCTCCTGGCTTTCCCTGTGAAAGGCATGGCATGATGCAAACTTTCAGGATATTCGGAGAAATGAATCAAGCTTTACATACATCTCAAAACAATCTAGCATGTTGCATTTGTGTTCAGCGATCAGGTCCAAAGCTTCTTCGCTTATATTGTGTTTGCAAACTCTTACTTGAGGTCCCGGCTTGCCCTTCGGTCCCTTTGGACCTCTCCTGCCTCGGACACCTTTCATTCCCTGTAGTGACCCAAACACAATTCAGCAATGAACAACATTGAATACAAATTGACTAATGCTAAGACTTAAACATTTATAGAAATACAAAGTCAGTCACCCACTTTCACTCCAAGGTGGCCCTGTAACAGAGACGAGTGTATCAAACAAAGTCTTTAGGTTACAACATGACAATTTTTTAAATATTGTTCAGTAAAACTTCACTAATCAAGATATTTTAGTAAGTCATTACAAAAAACTGAACATCAAAGCAACTTACAGGGATTCCTGAGAAGCCTTCCTGCCCGGCTGGACCACGAGGACCAGCGTCCCCCTGTAGTAAATGGTTAATTGATTATTTATTGGATACAAATAATTAAAACAATGCAATAATGGGAGTAAAGTGTGACTGACCTGTTTCCCCTTATCACCCTTTTCACCTTTAAATCCCTGCAAACCAGGATTCCCCTGATATAGAAGTCAGACATGTGGTAGATTAATCCAAAATCCACCTTTTTCATTTAAAGCATTTTATATTTAAATTGACTGCAATTCACCTTTAATCCAGGTGGACCTATTGGTCCACGCATCCCTGTATCACCTGGGAGACCCTTTGTAGAAAGAAAAGAAATTAAAGGAGTTACAAATACACAAATATATGTTAGATGAGATTCTGACATATTGAATGAATATATGCACAAAATATGTAACTGACTCTTACCTTCGTGCCAAGACTTCCAGATTCACCTTTCTCTCCTCTCAGCCCTGGAATACCCTGAACCAACAGCAGCAGATGATGCAAATGTTCACACGAACAGGGGTAAGGTTTTTATTAGCGATCACATGCTGCTCTCTAATCATTTTACCTTTGGCCCAATTGGTCCAGGAGGCCCACGTGTTCCTTTTAGACCCCTCGTACCCTGAGATATTTAATAAGACCTTAGTAAGAAACATTTCAACAATGCATTACATCAAACAAAATAAAAAAGACAAATTTATAAGCACCACTATGCTATAATAGTAAACATGTGCTCATAATAGTCACCTGAAATGTATAAATGATTGCTTACCTTAACCCCCCCTTCTCCAGCGTTTCCCTTAATCCCAGGAGATCCAGGTTTTCCCTGCAAGGTATGCATGTATTTAATACCACATAATGCAATAATCTGTAAGAAAAGCTTAGCTGCAAAAGACTTATTCCATTTGTAATTGTGCAGATTTGCATGTCATTCATTTCCTTAGTGAAATTACCGTCTTGCCAGGCCTGCCTGGTGTTCCAGGAGCTCCTCTGTGACCAACGTCACCCTATGAAGTTAGCAGGGGAAAAAGAAATTAATAAAAAATTGTGAAATGTGTTAAAATCAATTTTAGTAAGGCAAACTTTCTTACCGGATCTCCCTCATTACCCTGAACTCCCAGCAACCCATCCAGACCGCTCAGTCCCTGAGAATATGATCGCAAAAACGAGAAAAGACGATCAAACGAAATGAGCATTGTCGGTGTTTCGTGTTAAGAATTGCATTTGTTAGTTGGGATGCTTACAGGTTTTCCAGGTGGTCCAGCAGGTCCTGACCTCCCCGGCAGACCTTCAGGTCCCTACAAAAGAGACAAGAAACTTCACCGGATGAAATCAAGGCCAAAACCGCTTAACCTTTACTGTTAACACTCATTGTTTATTATTTAATTCAGAGTGAATCATTAATTAGGCTTCACAGAAGACTGAATAATTAATCTGTGTTTATCAGACACCCAGTGCAAGTAAGTAAAGTTTATTTAGTGCTTTTCACTGACATAACAGTCACAAAGTGTTGAACAACAATTAAGACACCAGATAATCATGTTAAAACAGATAAAAAAAAATAGCATCAAATTGGTAAGACAGCATAACACACACCCAGTGCACGTGGGATTTATACTATCCGTAAATGTTGAAATAAACTATATTTCATAATAGTCACAGTAACTAATCTTGGAACTCCAGTCTGAGATGTGAAGGGACACTCGGCTTAAAACAAAACTCACAATTTGCCCAGCAGCTCCTTGTGTCCCTTTACTTCCTGGCTCACCACCTTTTCCCTTCAAAATGAATTCAGTGACATGAAAGTTGCATGAAGCAGGTTAAAAGTACCTTCACTATGATAGCTTTATTTAAGGGAATTAAGAAACTGCATGTTTGAGCCACGCTTTCTTCTTACCTTTGGTCCCTGGATTCCTTTAGTTCCTGGAGGACCAGGAGGGCCACCAGGTCCAGTTTGACCTTTAGGACCTGGAGAGCCTATGACCCCCATCTTCCCCATTGTACCCTAAAATCACAGTGAAATATACTCAGAAATTTCCAGAATCACACTATAATAGCAACAGCATACTATAGAAATGTAATTTTTGGAATTGAAATACGTCAGATGATCCGGTAAGATCATTTAGTCATTTATGGCACTTACTATTAAGTATTAAAACGGCAATTTAAATGCTTAAGAATGCTCTCTTACCAGTCTTACCACTTTCCCTCGTGTTCCAGACTCGCCTTTTACGCCTTTCATACCCCTGATGCCCTGGGAAACAAAGACAGTTATGCAGACACATGGCCTCACTGTGTTTGCACACATGATATTAAATATGCTTGACCATATTTATTATGGCCACAGAGTGAAACAAATAATGAAATCTAACCACGTCTCCCCGAATGCCTGGAAGACCCAGCATACCCTTTTCACCAAGACTGCCCTGAATTATAGAAAAACCAACAGAGACAGTTAAAAACCAGTGAAATGTTTTAGCTGGACAGTTAACATGTGTGAAAGGTACAGTATACCTTTGCTCCAGGCGCTCCACCTTTACCTTCAGCACCTCTCTTGCCAGGTAATCCCTAAAAACAGACACATAATGTATAAATAACTTACATATCACTGAAACAACTAAACCTTTTTTTTCACATTCAGGCCTAAATTAAGTTATATATTTTAAATATGCTCCACAACATGTCACTGTTGCCTATCCACGGCACGTTATTAGGTCCACCTGTTCAAATGACACCTGCTGAAGTTCACACTGAGCATCAGAATGGGGAACAAAGGGGGTTTAAATGACTTTGAGAACAGCTGGTGACTCAGACTGGCTGATCTGAGTCTTGTCCCCTTCAGTCCGGGTCGTAGCTCGAGCCCATGACATTGTGCTAGAGGTCAGCGGCGCATCAGGGGAGACTGTTTCGAGCCGATAGCAAGACAGGCACTAACTTAAATAATCACTTGTTACAACAAGGTATGCAAAAGAGCATCTCTAAATGCAAATGGGCTACGGCAGCACGAGCTTACACCAGGTGACACTTCTAGAAGCTAAGAACTGGAAACTGAAGCTATAGTTTGCATGCGATCACCAAAATTGGACAGTAACTGAATTCAAATGAAGAAGAGTCACGTCATGGATGTCCAGCCAGCAGATCTGCTGTCATGTTAATGTCAATATATGTTTCCAGCACCTTGGTGAATCTATGCTACAATCATAGCTGTTCTGAAAACAAAAGGGGGTTGATATTAGTACTTTAAGTGTACCTAATAATGTGTCCGGTGAGTGTGTGTGATTTAGTTAACATTTTTAACTCAAATTCAACACAAACACATCGAGGTGATACCAATATCGAACATTTAGTGCACATTTTAGCACACAGTCAGTATAATAATGGAAAGTTAATGTTAGGTAAAGTAAAACGTACAGCTGGTGACGGTCCAGTGGGTCCAGGAGGGCCCGTAGTACCAGGAGGACCCTGAAAGAAAAACAGATATAATGTTGTTCAGCAGCATTATAGTCAAACATGCATGTTCTGTAGAGACATATAGACACAGCACATGTTGTTAACGTGACTGAAGCAAACAGAGTCCCCCTCAGGTACTAACAGCGAGTCCCTGGAGCCCTTTCTGGCCTTTCGTTCCTGCTGCCCCAGTTTGGCCTCCAGCTCCAAATGGCCCACGAGTGCCTGATAAAGCCCTGGGGCCTGGCTCACCCTGTCAATAAATCATCATTATCACTACCAGGTTTTCACTCAGACATTTTGTTTACAGGCAACACCAGTTCTCAGGTTTTCTTCATCATTGTTTCTACATGTATGAGTTAAAACGACTGACCTTGAGTCCTGGGGGCCCCTGCTGTCCTCTATCTCCGGGTGCACCCCTGTACCCCTGAGAAAATCACATGTAGTAAAGACAAGGCAGAGGCGATGCACAGTCTTCCTTATATTTGCTCTTTTTGAATTAATATCCCTGTGTGGAAGTCAGTGGTGTTACAGTAAACTATACTTTAGGATTACTACATACCCGTTTCCCTTGTGGCCCCTTCGGTCCCTGTGAACCTTGGTTTCCTCTTTCACCCTCAGACCCCTTTGGTCCTTTCTGCCCAGGAGGTCCTGTGTTTCCCATAACACCCTGAAATCACAGTTTTATAAGTAACACAATTTTCACGAATACTGCAGTAAACTGATAGCAAAATTAACCTTTATTCTTCATTTTGGGATTGATATTGGACTCACAGATAAGCCTTTTTGGCCGGCTGGCCCTTGAAATCCTTTCTGTCCGTTTGGACCCTAAAGACAAGAACAACACTCAGTTTGTCCTGTTTCATGGGCTCATATTCCTGAAGTTACTCTAACAGTTATGATCTTCTAGGTCTTTCATTTTCCTTTGATTTTCTTTCTTTCTCTTGTTTTATCTGTGCTTTCTGTGCTCTTCGCATCTCTAGTTTTCTTACTTTAGGTTTTGTTAATTTTATGTTAAATGGAAATTGAAAACAGTTGAATCCATGACCAAGCTAATCAATCTACCTCCTCACCATCGAGACCAGCAGCTCCCTCCTGCCCCACAGGTCCTCTGGATCCCTGAACACAGGACATGTAGAGACAAACAGAAGAAGAAGAACACATGACACAGCATTATTGACGTGCACTTGCATACAGCTTTTTCTGTATTTAAGTAGGCGATAAGATACTTAGAGAAGCTCAGAGGTTCACCTTATCTCCTTTTACACCGCCTGATCCAGATGGCCCCTGACTTCCATCTTTACCCTGCGTGTTAAGAAATGTAAGATAATAACAGGGAGATAATATAAAGAAACATCCTATCAAAAAAGGAAGACAGCTCCGTCTTAGTGAGCTCGCAGTTTGGTAGAGCAGGTTTTTCTACCAAATGTATTTTGAATTTTAATTTCAGGGGATGTATTTGCTTCATGTTCATTATACCAAATACTGCATAAATAATTGTTCTATAATTTGATGCACAACAAAGAACAAAGCAAAGATTATAATTCAACGTTACTATTGGTACATCGAACTGCTCGGCATTAATGCCAAGGCATAATTTTAAAAAGCACCTTTCTGTCAGAGATATCTTGAAAATTAATATTATTAACAATATCTCACAAAAAACGGCGGCAAATTGCCTGTATTTGCCTGAACAACCATAATATTCAACCAAAAGTCGTCAAATTATAATGGTGACTCGGATCCATCTTGTCTTTTGAAAAGAGCAGGGTTAAAACCATGAAAATTAATCGTACATGCGCTGGCTTATCAAAGTTTTCGAATCAGTTCAAATGCGGTGTAAATAAACCCGACATCATCATCCTTCCAACAGGTCTGGTGACAGCGGGCGCGACTTGGTCTGGTGACTGACCCAGAGAAACTAATTATGAGTTCATGGCAAACTGGAAAGAAAGAAAGTGTCTGTTCGCTCCCGAGTGTTTCTGCAGTTATCACAAGAGGACTGTTCATCCTGCAGTTAAGCAAAACTGCAGAGAGATTAGCATGAAGGCTTTGTGACCTTTCACGTGGCTGACAGTTGACTTGATGAACAAAGTGTGACTAATGATGTGTTCTGAGTCTGGGATTTTGGGTTTTTCTAGTTTTGTATTTTGGATTATTTTCCTTGTATCCCTGTTTATTCATGACTCTCTTTTGTTTCCACATCTGGCTTCTTCTTCATCTTTGTGTTTATGATTTGTAACTTGTGTCAATTTAGTCTTGCATCCTTTTCAGTTGTGGCTCTCTTCCTGTTTTATTTTGGTGACTGTTCTTCTCTGTATCCTTTGTCTTGGTTGACGTCCTCCACAGTCATTATCTTAGGCTACGTTCACACTGCAGGTCTTGATGCTCAAATCCGATTTTTTTGTCTGCTCGTTCACACTACAAATAAAATGCGACAGCAAACGCGCTCTAGTGTGAACGCTCAAAGCGCTCACACTAGAGCGCAAATGCGCAAAAGAAGACGTCACACACAACGCGCTCTGTTTAGACCCAGAGCAAACAGTGTTGTTTGACTGATGGCCTTAATATAAAGACTTCGGACTTTACGTTTCCCAATTTTTGCTTTAAGTTATTTTGTTATTTACATAATAATGTAAATAACCTAATAATGATCCTTATTGCTGCTTTAGAGAGGAGCGGTGCTGCAAAGGATAGCTGCAGATTTCTGTCAGAATCTGCAGGTTATATAGAGAACAAATAAAATGTTCACGTTGTCTTCCCAACAGTTTCACCGGATGGCCAGGAAGCGTTCGCGATGTTTTCTCCGGCGCTGATAATTGGCGTCTGTCTTGTGTCAGTGACGTAAAAGACGGATTTAATGCGACATGACCATCAAACAGCAGTCGCTTTCTAAAACATCGGATTCAGGACCACATACGAAAGTGACCCAGATCGGATTTGAAAATATCGGATTTGTGCCGTTCACACTGTCAGACCATGATCGGGTAGATGGTCGCAGAGGGTCAAAAAAGTCGGATTTGATGCGCTTTCGCCTGCAGTGTGAACGTAGCCTTAGTTAACCCCAGCTGTGTTCCTACCTGGTTTTTTATCTCCTCATTATGTAAAATGCCTGAGTTCTGTACACAGCCAACCTTGACAGTTATGTTGGACAGACTGACAGAGCTTCAGTTTGTGTATGAAATAAAACAATTAGGCTCCCAAACTTCTAATTATATTTGAAAACAAAAGCAAAAAAACCCCCCAAAAAACAACAAAACCTTACAGAGTAACCTGTAACTCCAGGAGGACCAACTGGGCCTTGTGGACCTTGACCGCCTGGAAGACCACGGGACCCAACTTCACCCCATGGTCCAATGTTGCCGTGGATACCCTGTTGGATTAAAGTATGTTTAAAAAACAGAGAAAAAAGTTCATAGACTAAAAATGTTTCTTGGTTTTATACAATCTGATTGAAGTCTGTTAGTTAAATACTCAAAGACGTTCACATGCTGTGTGTAGAAAACACACACAGCTGCAGTCATGTGAAAAACAAAGCCCACGCTCGGAGCTCGGAGTTTAAGAGTGAAGGTAGCAGCAAGCTACCGCTCATCAAATGCACTTGATTAATCAAGTGTGACCATCTCTATAGAAGCAGATGTTGGTCTGGAGCTTTCAGGTGTGTGCTAACAAATTAATGCCACAAATTTTTGCATTTTTTGAACGCAATACAAACAAATTGCAAGTCTGCATTTTGGGTCCTTTGCTGCCTCCCCGCACACAGACCATGACACAAATGGTACCAAACCTCAATGAATTGAAGCGACCTTAAAATAAAGTTCAAGAGAAGTTGGACAAAATTCCTCCACGACACGAGAAACTGAAAATTATACAGAAAACTATTACTTCAAGTTACTACTGCTAAAGGTGGTGGCACGTTATCACAGGACTGCACGGAGTCCAATGAAAAACGTTCTTTTCCACACACCTGCCTTCATCTAATTCTCTAATTAACTCACAAACCAATGCTGACGTGTAGAAACTCAAACCGCTGACCAATCAGTGCGTCCGACCTCCTGAGCGTTCTCACATTCTCAAACATCAAGACATTTACCACAATAAAATCAAAAGCATAAGTTGACCAAAAGAAAGTGTAAACAAAGGACTGGATGAACGTTTTGTATGGACAAATAATTAAAATGACCTTACAGGAGCGCCTCTGTATCCCTGTGGTCCAGCCATGCCCATCTCTCCCTGGAGAATGACAAGAACTTGACTTTAGTAAGAAGTTAGAGAAACACTTATAAATAATGAACAGGCGATAGTAGAAAATAAGGGACTAATTCACTTACTCGGGGGCCTTGTATTCCTTTCGGTCCCTCCTCTCCTCTTGTACCCTTCACAGCACAAACGTTATCTTAGCATATGAGGAGCTAAATAACTGAGTGACTGATAAACCTGCTACTTAGTAATGAAGATGTGAGACTCATACCTTAAATCCTTTACTTCCTGTTAGTCCACTGGGGCCTTGTTTACCTACAACCCCCTAAAGGAAACATCAGGATTGGATTTTTTGGTCTGGCTATAAAGAAAGTACCACAAATTCCAGAAAGTCTACATTCATATATCATTGTTTGGGTTGAATTTTCAAGGCTTCATTATTTTCTTTCAACAAACACAGGAGTACTCTCCATACAGCTGCACAGTAACATACTCTCCTTCCTGGCTGTCCCGATGTCCCCTTCGTTCCTCTGCTGCCAGATTCTCCCTGGAAGTTGAATGACACAACGCTATGATCCTAACGTCACACAATTCACTGTGCTGAGTGATCACAGGACACTGTTGTAAAACTTTAGATCCTCATCTTATTAAATAAATGAATTCATTTATTACAGTCACTCCCATAGTCTCCAAAAATACTAACCATGTTTCATGAAGCAAGAATTTAAAAATTGCCTTACACTCTTTCCTACAGGGCCTTGGAATCCAGGAGGTCCTGTTTTTCCAGGCATTCCCTGTGGAAATGAGAACATGAGATAATAACTTGTCCCACTCCAGGATAAGCAAATGCAGCTGTCATATAACAGGACGAGCTCACTTTAGGTCCTGGAGGTCCGACCGCTCCATTCACTCCATTTGCACCAACAGGTCCCTGAGGCAAAGATCATATTAGTTCATCAAATATCTGTTACCCTGGTAATATTACTGCTCAAGTATCATTTCTGACAGATTAAATGTTAACTATTAACCTAAAGAAGAAAGGATCAAATCTGATTCTGGAACACTTAACCCATTTTGTTCTGTAGGAATAACAAACCCATAACAATAAATACATAAAAAGAAAAATAATTCCCATTAATAAGGGAGGCTTCTGTTCCAAACACAGCACATGGTTAGTCTTACCGAGGCTCCACGACTGCCATCCTGCCCCTTGTGGCCCAGATGACCTTTAAATCCCTGAAAAATGAAAGAAATGTCTCCTTTTTTCTATTTGTTTTTTCTAGTGTGAATAAAAAAAGGAGTTAAAATTTACCATATATTTAAAATCCATATAAATACAATACAATTTTATTTATATAGCACGTTTAAAACCAGGGGGTACACCAAAGTGCTTCACAGTAAGGAACAACGGTAAATGATTACACTGAACAGTAAGTCACTAAAACAAAGTAAAATAGAGAAAATAGAGAACAAACAAAAGCATAAGTAAGTAGGGATCAGAGATGATTATGCAGAGAAATGAGTATCTGCAAAAACTCAAAATCTCACCAAGTATATTTGTCTTATTTCTAGTCAAAATGATCTCATTACACTTAAAATAAGACAAAATCAGCTACAAAGCAACTTTGCAGTAAGATTCAGGAACTTGTTTCATTGGCAGATTTTTTCACTGAATACAAGATATTTTACCTTGAAATAAGTGAAAAAATCTGCCAATGAAACAAGTTCCTGAATCTTACTGGAACGTTGCTTTGTAGCTGACCAGATGATCGTAAAGAACGGCTGGGAGTATAGAGACTGAGGAGGTATATAAATAGTGCCATCATCTGGATAGTAGCTTTAGCAGATGTCACATGTGGTGGATAGATCGATTCTGTTTTAAAGCTATAAACATGTGTTTCTCTAATGTTTACATGTACAGCATGGTCACCTTCAGGCCTTTTGAACCCGGCATCCCCGGGACTCCAATCTTCCCCTAAACAGATGGGGTACACAATCAGGTACAAACACAGTGTGAACTCTTTGACATGCCTCTGTTTAATGCAATAGTAAGAGCTTTTTCAATGCACTGATTGGTCGATGCCTTCAGTCACAGATGTAAAAAAACAACAATTAACAGCGCAGTCATGCAAGTACAGAGTAAGAACTTTAACCATGTAGGAACCTTAATACCAGGTTCTCCTTGAAGTCCCCTCTCTCCTGATGTCCCCATCTGTCCCTGCAATAACAAATAAATACATAAATAATACGAACATAAGTATCTATACTGAACATGTTGTCACTTATACTCACAACAGGACCAGGGATTCCAGAAAATCCCGCTCGACCTTCCCGACCCTTTGACAAGAAGAATGACTGTTAATGGTTAAGAAATGTTACAACACTGCTCCCTCTACAATACTACAGTTCACATATTTTTGGAAATATTAAAAGTAAGAAAAAGCTGAAAAACACCTCCTTTGCAATTTTATGTTGACTTTGCTTTTAAAATGTCTTTTAACCCTTTAGAGCCAGTCGGTGCAGGCTCGCTCTGTTTTGCGTAACTATTTTTAAATCCCGGTAGCTCTGCAACCACGTAAGGTAGCGCAATAATTTTTTTTGCATATGAAGCCGGAGGAGTTGTACTTGCATCTTATGCCATCAGCTTGTCCTCGGTCACAGTTTCCTTCCACATATAGCTTTGCAAAAA